AATCTAGGAAGTAAAAGGATAAAGACAAACAAAGGTTGAAAGTCAAAGAGATTAATTCAAGCTGTAACAAATAAATTTTTGACTGTGAAGGCAGCAGAGTCAAATTTACCAAGACAAGCAGTAGGCTCTTCACCAAGACTATTGTAAAAACAAAAATAGAAATTTTCCTTAAGTTCCAAGCTATAACCATGCTACTAAACCTAAAGCAAAAATAAAGCAAGATAGCCTCAAGGTCCACATCAAACCACAGGTCAGGCTAGGTGATCCCTTCTGAACCTTTTATCTATCATAATTGATTATACAGACAACTATTTAGTGAACAGTCAAATTATAAGAAGTGGCCATCTCCCACCCAACGTCACCATACTCCAGAGCTGGCAGTTTTAATTCCTCTTATTCCATTTTCACAGGCTGAAGGAAACAGACCTTATATTCTAGATGTTTTATCAAAGCCTTTAACTTACCTGAAAATAGCTCTTATTTTCCTTGTGAAAGGCAATGACAACACACATGCACAGATGTATGAACGTCATAATGTAGGATGTTTTGTTCCAGAGTCTCCTTTCCAAAATACCTGGTATTAATTAATTAATCACCAGTTCTCTGCACTAAAATTCACAAAGGGTGGAAAACTAAGGCTTAAAAACCATACACACAACAGTCATCTCTGAAGTTTAGGTTTGGCATCAGCTAGAAGCCTCAGTTTAGCTTTAAACATACAAAACCCCTCAGGCACTGCTACAACATGTCAGGTAACCTGTCCTACAGTGCTGGTAGTCTCTGTCTTTGCTCCTTGTTAAAGTAGCCTACCCCTTGAAAACCTACAAGGCTTTGCTGACTCCAAAAAGGCAGGAAAGGACTCACTGATTTTGTAGATTCCAGAGACCCTGAAGATAGGGTGTCTCTGCTGCCCCGACTCTTGGAACTGAGATGGGGTGAGGACGATGGCGAGTCATCGATATAGGGCATCATATCATGATGTCGCCTCTGTTCTTCAGCACGGTCTGCATCATACGCGTAGCTAGGTGGTGTGCCACTGAATGAAGCATCTGTAAAACAGGAGAAAAATCTCTCTGGTCAGAGTCAAGCTGGACAGGAGACAGGCCAGTCAACCAAGGCACTGCCTGCCTCGCAGCTATTATCATTACTTATCAGTAAACCCAGAGTCAGTGATAGTCAAATACAGATCAAGTGGAGATAAACATTTAATTAAACTCAGGTTGTCACCAAACATTCATTTTAAGTCCTAAAAGGTAAAATCCTTTCTAATATCTAACATCGGTGTTCACTTAATGGCAGCTCCTTCCCTCAAGTTTTCCTTCAAAAGCATTAGCACCAAAATAAATCCTTTTGCAGGCTCCATAAAAGTTATGCATTCTGGGTTTAAGAATGTAGTAGGTTAGGGTAACAGACCCTTGTTTTCTGTAGAAGAACAACAGATGATGTCCCCACCAGTTTAGCCATCATAGATAATACATAGCTCAGGGGAGAAACGTAACTCCTTCCAGACCTCTCAGGAACAAAAGGACTAGGAAAAAAAGATCTTGCGTGTGAAATGAACCAGCCTACTGCCAAAAATAAAATCCTAAGAGGCCCTCTTCTATTGTCTGCCCCTTCTCCTCAATTTTGCGACTAATTCCTTAAACAAATGAACAAACCACCATCCTGTTCATTCCTACCCCACCCCCCCCCCGAAAAAAAAGCCAACCAAAAAACAAAAACAAAATAAAAACCCAACCAACCAACCCACAACAACCAAAAAACAACCAAAAAAGGATGGTGGTATGAAGAGTCAAATTAACCATTACTGCATGAGATGAACTTCCGCAGGAATGATGTGCAGTAAAATTGGTTCTGGTATCCCTAGTAGCTGCAAAAACCTATACTAAGGACTGAGCAGCTCCTGTACCACAGGTTAAAAGGTTTTTCACCCCTCTACACAAGGAAATATGCACAAAGGAACAACATTTGCTTTCTGCACAGTGGCACTGCATCACCTACATTTTGCCTGGGGAGAAGGCTGGAGACAACCTCACATACAACTAATTACATGGGCCTGGGAAGCACTTTCACCGGTCAATTCCAGAGGTGTCCTGTGTGTAACAGTAACAGCAGTAGCCATGCATGGGCCACTGAACACAAAATGGTCGAGCTCCTTGTCCTCTTTCAGTTACAAGTCACAAAATGCCACTCTTCTCCTAAAACTGAAAAATAACCACAGGGAGATAAGCTAGATCCACTTTTACAGCAGCAGGCGAGCCTTGTGAAAGACAAAGCCACAAAAAACCCCAGCTTTTTTGTCTTAGAAGTTTAAAATTATGCATTAAATTCACACTTGAACACAAGTAGAACCAATTTTTACTTGTCTTCACAAATATCCAGGTTCTGTGAAAATAATAAGCAGCAGCTGCCAAGCATACTAATAATCCTGTTATACATCACTAAGGCAGGGTGGAGGAGTAACATTTTAAAGCCCACTTTCCTCCCTCACAGTAAACTCAGTTAAAGCATGACTCATTCCAGTAAAGGATGTGAACTTTGTGTGGAACAGAATAAAACTTGATCCATGTGGCTTATTCAGGAGGGAGAGCTGGTCTAGTGAATTTACACAAACAATATACTGAAAATCCAACAATAAACTCACTGTAGAATCGAGCCTCTGCCTTGCTTCATACCAAATACCACTCAGCTAAGTAACAGCAGTACACAAGGCCTTTAAGCTGCTGAAGGACCATGGCAATATTACTTTAACAAGCTCAATTAATTTTATGTCACCTACCTGCTTATGGTATTACCTTGTGCTCAAGCTTCTGGAGTTCCTCAAAAGACTCATTAGATTGTGCAAGAACACAGGAATGGGGGTGGGAATGGTACATGGTACATGTTCTCTGGAAGATGTTAAAGGTTTCCAGACCTCCCCAGTAACTCAGAAGACACCTTATTAAGTTGATTTCATAAACAGAGGCTTGAAAGGGAGTTGCTGAAATAAGGATGCTCAATCACAAACAAAAGAGATTTTGAGATGCCCCACAGTTGGATAATGTCTGCAACACCTGCAAGCCAAACAAATCTCATGCTGGAATTTTCAAAACCTCTTTTGTTAAAAGAATGTGGAAGAGAAGACAGCATGGCCCTCACCTTGCACTACCCAAACAGGGAAGGAAACACTGAAAAGAAAAAGTAAAACTAACCTCCTCACACACAGGATGGATGGTATTCTGTTTGGCCGGAAGGTTAAGGGACTGTTTTGACTCCAGAAACCAGAACAGGAAGGAGGACAGGTGTCTCCTTGCATCTCTGCACTATTTATGCCATATAAAAACCCAACCAATCAAAACCCATACAACTTCAGTGGCAGAAAGCAGGTATCTGTTTTCCATTGAAGCCTGCAAGACACTACTGACAATTTAGCACTGGCATTATCCAAGGAGGAACATCAGTACTGGGTGCTTATGCAGTCTTCATGCCTTTGATCAAGCTAGAGTCCTTTTTCCTTCAGAAGTTTCTTCATGCTACTCTTATCCAAACCAGTTTCTCCTGCACACAGGCAGTAACAGGATCATGTTGCTGTGCAGAAATTAAGGCAGGAATATTTAGTTCACTCCCAGTGCTCACTTTCAAAATATATAGTTTGCTCCACTTCTGTTAATGGGGGAGTGAATGCAGACTAAAATATATTAGCAGAAAGGCTTGCAGTGAATCACAGTATTTTCACTTTCCTCACTTTCTCCTGCTAAAAAACAGGCTTCACACTTCTACCTTCCATAACACGTTCTGTCTCCTCCTGCACAGGGAAACATTTAACTGCAATTGAAGGAAAGGGCAGGTGGAGGACTTGAGCTCAGAAAAGGAGATTTATTCCCAGCTTTGCAACAAGATTCAATCTACCTTTGAATCACTTTGTCTCCCTATACCCAAAATGAAAATAACACATCTCAACAAGAAATGAATCTATCAGTCACAGACTGCCATGAGATCTGTGCATAAAAAGCTCCACGCAGAATTTAAAACTTTATTTTTGTATCCTCCAGGGATCCTTCACACATTAAAAAGCTTGGAAGTAGCTATAATCCCTCTTTCGATTATTGCTGCATTCAGCACTGAAATCCACGTATGGAGATTTTCATTATCTCCAAGGCAGAAGGACCTTCTTGCTTTTATTCTACCATTTTTTCCACCAGCAGCAAAGTATTAGTGCAGCCAGACACACTATGCAAGTCTTAACGCTAATAACAGAGGTAGACTTGTATCTCTGTGATTAAAGAGACCACTGTTGCTAGGGAAACTAGGTTATTCAGATCTCCTAAACCCAGCACAATGCTGCACAAGCTGTTCAGGCTCTACCTGGGAGCAAAAAGACCCGAGCAAAGAGATTAGAGCCAGGAGCTCACCTGCTCAGACACTTCCAGCTGCTCTGGGTGCTGCTTTTGTAGATGGCAAGTGGAGCCAGCAGCTGGGCCCAGGCAAGAGCGCTTGGTTTCTCAGCCAGTGTCTCAGGCAGGGTGAGCAGTAAGAGGGTTCTTATTCTCCTTTTAGGGCCAGCCAGTAAGTCACCGTTAACCAAGCTATCAAAGCCAGAGAAAGATGAAGCACAGGAACAACAATTACTGACAAGGGGCAACTCAGGAAAAAGGGTAAGCATATGGGGATGAGGGGCTCAAATATGAGAGAGCACCAGAGACAGATACTGAGGACACTACTCCATGTGTGTCATGCTTCTCTCACCTCGCCTCACCAGCAGGTAGAGGTTTCTTCCCCTCTTTGGGTAACCTGTAAGAGATCCCATCCCACAGAGAAGAGCAGCAGCTGTGACTTACAGAAACGAGCCCTCTCAGCACCTCAGAGTAGCTATTTCTACACTGGCCCTCTGACATTCTCTTACAGTGCCCCTCTCCTGCACCAGCACAATCTTCAGGTGCAATGAACTACCTGAGGCTACAAAGGCTCATCATCAATTCACACATTCTGCTAAAAGCCTCAAGCATTTACTTCCACCTTTGATTCTAACAGCAATGGCCTTCCTGGCCTTGCTTTGCCCCAGCTTTTATGAGTCTGTTTCACCATCCCCTTCCTCAGTTACTGCTTCCATCCTCTCACCTCCTTTCTCATCTCTGTCCCTATTTAATTTTCCTTTTGGTTTTCTCAAACTTAATATTCCTTTTCTTCATTTTTGTGTTCTTCCCCTTTTCTAAACTGCTTCTCCCCCTCACTGCCTCAAATTTCACCTGGCTGGGTGTAAGGAAGAATCTAACAAACACACAGTTAGTCACAAATTCACTGGCACTCAGATACAGCACAGCAACACTGTTCCCTTGTCCTGTTGCCTACACCCTTCCTGCTGGGTGCCACATTCATTCTTTGGGAATATGAAATCAAGTCATAGATCCAACTTGAAAGCAGGAAAGGAAAAAGAAAGTAACTTCTAAGTAAAAAGAAAGATTAGCTGCATCTAATCCAGGACCACACAATGGTTCAAATGCATGTGTCATACTTTCACAGCATCACAACATCCAGAGCTGCTTGAGAGGCTTAACAGCAGCACGCAGAGAAGCTTCCAAGCTAACTGCGCTCCAGCTAATCCCCCTAAAAGAGCAGTGAAGCCACAGCAGCTCAGACCTGCCTGCCTAAGTAAATACCTAGAGCCCTGGAGACAGAGGGGGAGTTGTACCTCATGCCAAAGCCCCACATCACTGTGGCTTCATTGTAAATGGTACCAAGGCTAGCACGAGTTCGTAATGTCTCCACTCACTCCAAAAACATTCCTGCAGCTGCAGAGCAGAACAGAGCTAAGGCAGTTTGCATTCTCTGACTGTGTGTTTCTATGCCAGGGAATGTGTGAGGCCATAGTTTGACAATGCATTGTTTTGGCAGCAATAGGGGTTTAAGGTTTCCCCCCACCAAGCCACAAACCACTGCATGGCCCTTTCCCTTCTCATCCCCTTAGTTCTGCAACCCCACAGATGTCTATGGTCCAGACAAAAAACACTGCCAGCTCAAAGAAAAAATATCTTTGACACTTCCCTTCTAAACTGGATCAGCTCTCTGATCT